CATTATAGTATGCATAACCACATACATGATGTTTTTAACATTTAATTCTGTTTGTTCTGATGACATCAAGAGGTGAAATCTGACTCATATGCTATGTAGCAGTAGCAAGAGAAATTACAATTCTCTTTTTTGATTCTGCCAAGGACTGCCAAATTCTCCAATATACTATAAGTTTAATAATCACCTAATTTCTTTTATCTTCATGCCAGAGCAGTGATCGTTGGTTGGCCTGTTCAATTGATGCTTCTCTTTTAGCAGGGAAAAGTTTACGGGTCTGCTTTTTAACTCTTAAGGTTGTCTGAGCAAAATTAACCTGCTGTACTGTTGGCCCAAGTGCATGTGGTTTTCTCCTTGCAGAAGTCAACAATTCTTTGTCATTTACTGTTCCATGTAGTAAAGTACTTTTCTTTTTCTTTTTCTTTAAGTACTTTTCTTCATCATTGAGTAGTTCATACAGTTGTTACAGTTAATCTTCTAGGTTTCAGTTTAAATAAATGTTTATATATATACTTAAACAGTTCAGTTAAGCCCTTTAAAACTTGTTTTCCAGAAACTTGAAAGTTGACTTTAGATTCTGCTTTAGTTTTTACATAGAATATAAATGATCGAAAACCCTGTATCTGAAGTTGTTTCGTAAAGCTTTCCTATTAGTAGGTAGGACATTGTTTTGTAGATTTCAAGACGAATTTTATTACCCAAGTGCTCAACACAGTAGAAAGCCTTGTCACAGATCTGTGGAATTTTTCTTGACCAGAATACAAAAGCAAATGGATATACATATTGCTTTTGTATAGACATATTTAATTCCTGGGCTTTAAATATGGGAAATGTCAGCATTCATTTTTATCTATCTGAAATTTGCCTCTCACACTTTTTATTTTGATGAAACTTTGTAGTTTCCAAAAGGGATTCACAAAATGGGGACTTCTTTAGGATAGACTAAGAAGGAGGTGATTGCAGCCATGAAATTAAAAGACGCTTACTCCTTGGAAGGAAAATTATGACTAACCTTAGATAGCATATCAAAAAGCAGAGACATTACTTTACCAACAAAGGTCCATCTAGTCAAAGCTATGGTTTTTCCAGCGGTCATGTATGGATGTGATAGTTGGACTGTGAAGAAAGCTGAACAACGAAGAATTGATGCTTTTGAACTATGGTGTTGGAGAAGACTCTTGAGAGTCCCTTGGACTGCAAGGAGATCCAACCAGTCCATCCTAAAGGAGATCAGTCCTGGGTGTTCATTGGAAGGACTGATGCTGAAGCTGAAACTCCAATACTTTGGCCACCTCATGTGAAGAGCTGACTCATTGGAAAAGACCCTGATGCTGGGAGGGATTGGGGGCAGGAGGACAAGGGGACGACAGAGGATGAGATGGCTGGATGGCATCACTGACTCGATGGATATGAGTTTGAGTAAACTCCAGGAGTTGGTGATGGACAGGGAGGCCTGGCGTCCTGCGACTCATGGGGTTGCAAAGAGTCGGACACGACTGAGTGACTGAACTGAATTGAACTGAAGAAGGAAAGTGGGGGGTGGGTGATTACTTGCTGTGTAAGAGATCCAGTTAAATTCTAGAAGGAAAGGTCATTGGTGCCACCATTTCCATAGTCTGCTTAAAAGTATTAAATAACAGTGATTCCAGAGTAAATGTCTGATTCAGTTTCCTTCCTCTGCCCTAAGCTACAGAGCATGTTGATCATTTTAAAGGCACTTGACTTTATCACTGTGGCTATGGAAAAAGAAAATGTATAGGGTACACAAATTCATAAGTTTAAGTTCCACCCTTTATCAAGTCTTTTTACAAGTGATATCTGCACTGTTATTTTCTCAGAATAGAGAAAAGTTACTTTTTCAGCTTTCTTGGCATTATCTTTGCATTGACAGGATATCTTGACATGCAAGAGAAAACAGTGTAAATTTGATATATCTCATTTTATTTGGGGATTTATGTAAGTTAAAGCTACATGTTCTTTTTGGTATTTTATACTCAGTAAACAGATAAATGATAAATGTGTCATTTATCTATATTATCATGATAATACATTAGGTTACTATTAACACATACTAATGAACACTCTCAGTGAAACTAATGATCCATTGCCACCTTTTCTATTTGCTTGGCATTAACCACTAGCATAATATTATAATTTGATTTAAAAATGCATTTCAAAGAAGCATCTTCAGTTTTCACCAGCTCATAGATTTCTTAAAACTTGTGGTTAAAATATTAGAGTAACCATGTCTTATCTGCTTAAAATGCTTCATTAGCTTCCCTTGCCAGGTTAAATTCAAACTCCTTAACAGGCATTTAAAACTGTACCCTCAGTGACCTTCCTCAGATGAAACCTTTGCAGCTTAATTTTTGTTTTTAATTTCCCACTTACACTTCATTCACCCAGCTTTTCCCACTGCCTTGCCAAATCCTCAGTCCTAGCAGCAGTATCTCTGTATTACTGAAAATAAGCGAATACTTCTTTTTCCCCTGGGCATTAGAACTTTGTTTAAAAACCTTGTCAGTTCAGATTTTTTTCTAAAATCATGTTGTCTAATTTTAGCTGGAAGTTCACTGTTGCTTCCAGGATTTTTCCCTTATTGCTTATAAGATTCTAACACATTTTAAAACTTTCCTCACTTTTTTTTTTTGGTTCCTTCTTTTCTTTCCCCCTTCTCCTCCTTTGGGAAATAATCCTCAGATATTTGTCTTGGTGCTGACGTTAGAATCATCTAATTTCTTTGCTGCTTGCTTTACAATTGCCATGTCCGCCATAACTCTTCCTCCTCCATGAGGCCTAGGAGCCCATGTGTCCTTCCTGCCAAGGCCAACACCTGTGCCTGTGTTTTCCAACTCTTTCTTTCCTTTCGCCGTTTAAGTGACATTACTTTTACTTTCATGTCTGTAACTCTTTTAACGTTTTGACTGAAAGACAGTAATATTCTATTCCTTGGTTTATTATAGACTTTACTAACATTTGACGTAGGCTTCTGTAAAGAATGATCATCTGTTCAAGTTGGCTTTACAGTTTGGCCTTTTTATAAGGAATAGTTTTATCAGTTTTTTAATTCATCCTTTCTCACATGGTGCTTTTAAGAATATTTTCCTGTTAAGTTTGATTTTTCTTCTTGTCTACACTCCTTTTCACGTAATTATTTATGTGTACTTGTGTTTATGATGGGCTTCCCTTGTGGCTCAGCTGGTAAAGAATCCACCTGCAACATGGGAGACCTGGGTTCAATCCCTGTGTTTCTGATAGTCATTTTAAAAGAACTTAGTTGAATTTGTCAGATCATATTTAGTTTCACATTCACATCAAAATAGATGATCACAAATAAAGATTCATGAGATAGAAATTGCCTGAGGATGCTTTAGGATTTTGTTTGAAATTCTGCCAGGAGTTCTGGGGATCGGGGGTGAGGGTTGGAGACAGTGTACTACTTTATATCATAGAAGAGGACAGTGAAGAGAGATTTCCCTGAAAGTAAGATGAAAACTTTCTCTCCTGTATTTAATGGAAGAAAAGAAAGGTTAATTTGGGATAATACACACTAAAGCAAATTGTGTACAGTGTTTTTTTGGGGGGTAGGTGGTATTGTGGGGAATTTTTTTTTTTGTACATGTCAATATAAAGCAGAATTATAAGGTTAGTGAACTTAATACATTCATAATATAGTGGGACTTTCTATTCAATTTTATATGGTGAAAAGTCACTGGAAGCTGACTTTTAGATAACAGGTTGCCCCCTGTCCTTTTCAAAAAAGCTGGCATTTTGATCACAAAGATGTGTGCGTTTTTTTGTTTTCTGTTTGTTAACATGTAAGATAATCTGAAAAAATCTTCTGTAGAATATAAAGCAGACTTATTCAGATACATAAGAAATAATGAGATGACAGGATTTTATTCTTTGTGTATATTCTACCTGTGTTGGCATATTTAAAATTTTATTTTTGTTGTGAATGTAGGTCAGAGCCAAATAGTGCCTTAGTTTTTAGAAGCAGATACTTCTCTGTGTCCTTGCTGTTGCAGATCCTCTAAGTACTTTCTAATGTCCGATAAAATTGTGTGTGTGTGTATTTTTCGACAGAGTAGATTGGAATATTTGTAAAGAGTTGTAACCTACAACCTTTGAAATGTTCTAATAAATTTTGAATTTGGGGAATGGATATATGAGGTTAATGGTAATATATTGTACTTTTTGTATATTTAAAACTTTTTAATAGTAAAAACTAGGGGGGAAGTAGGGAGAGGTTGGTAAAAGAGTAAACTTTGAACTATAAGATGAATAAGAAGAATCAGAGAAGGAAAAGTCTAGAAGTTCTTACTGCTGCTTTGGCTAAGTGAGAGTGAAATGTATATTTGTAAATACAGATGTTCATAGAAAATTATTCTTTACATTTCTCCCTGAGCTGATGCTCCTGCAAAGGGTAAACAGGTAGTATATGTATTTTTAATGACTTCATGCAGCTAAAATTAACTTCTTTCTTGTAACTGACAGGTGACTTTGAATGTAATGTATTTAGCTGAAGATCAATGGTGGGAAACTCACGTGTTACAGATTTTGGCTTTGTAGGAGGAAAAAGCACTAAATAAGCTTCCTTTCATTTTTATATTAACGTAGATAGGATTAGTCACTATTGCATGTTACATTTGTTTTGCAGTTACAGTTTTGTTATTTTAGAAGTTCAGCTTCTTTGACAAGATTCCATATAGAGGCTACCTTGGGTAGTGGGTAGGGGCCATAGGTAATTGTTAGTTATTGCTAACATCCTACTTTTCCTGTTAGATGGTGGGCACATACAAGTATTCTTTATAAGTGAATAATTTATAAGATAAAGCACCTTGTGTAGAGGAAAGTTTCTAATACAAGTATTTAATACTTTTTTAGTACTTAAAGTTATGAATATTGGGAAGTGGATATAACAGATAGGATTTTTAAAAAATCTGTTAAGTATTTGAACTAAATTTATAGTTAATTCAGTAAATATCCGTTTTTATTTTAAGGGTTCTGATGACTGTCTTGTGAAAATCTGGGCAACAGATGATGGGAGATTATTGGCTACTTTGAGAGGGCATGCTGCTGAAATATCAGACATGGCTGTCAACTATGAGAATACCATGATAGCAGCTGGAAGTTGTGATAAGATGATCCGAGTCTGGTGTCTTCGAACGTGTGCGCCTTTGGCTGTTCTTCAGGGCCACAGTGCATCTATAACGTCACTACAGGTAATCATTTTAATCCCTGAAAAATCCTCTGTGGTTACAATTTAAAGTAAATTTTAAGAAGTCACTTTTATAATCCATCGTGTAAACCCAACTAAAATAAAGGAATATTTCTCTTTTCTCTATGAATACATGGACTTTAAATATGAAGGTGGTAACCATGACGTTTGTCAAATTGGAGTGTTTAACCATTATTGTTATTTGCTATTTGTATGATGAAAATAGGTTTATTGTTTGGACTGTGTCACTCTTATAAAATTGTTTCTTCTTTCTTTTTCAGTTCTCACCATTGTGCAGTGGCTCAAAGAGATATCTGTCTTCTACTGGGGCAGATGGCACGATTTGTTTTTGGCTCTGGGATGCTGGAACCCTTAAAATAAAGTCAGTGGCTCTTTTATTTCTTAGAATAAATATGTTTAACTTAATGGTTGAAATTGCAAGAGTATAAAGTAATCAACAATAGGAATAATTTTATTTTTCTCCTTGAGTAACATTAATTTTTGGCTCTTCACTGACCTCTCATTCTTATGCTTTCCTTTTTGTTTTCATGCTTTAAAGAAACTTATATGCTAACATGTTTATTTCTTTTTTCTCTTATCTTTTTTCCTAGCCCTCACTTTTTCAGAATATGCCTGTTTTATTACTACTACTTTTTGTATGCGGCAGTAACTCCTTTTGGTACTTAGAACATAATCTTCAGAGTTCCTAGTTCTTTAGAAGAATTGTAGTTATTTCTGTTATTACATCTATAGAATAGATTTTATTGTGGATCTAGGGAAATTTAGGAAAATGGAATCATTAAATTTTCACTAAACTACATCAAGGTAGATAGATGCACCCTTCCCTCTGCCCCATAATAACATTTTGCATTTATGCTTGTACCTATGATGATATTTTGGTTTATCAAAATAAGTTGTCTGGACAATACTGTGTTTGGGTTCCGGACACTGAGGCAAAGAAAGGCTGAATGACTTTCCTACAGTTAAAACAGTATTTAAAAATGGTAAGGCCAGGACTGTAACATTTCTTTGCCCCTCTGGTTTTGTGCTATTTCATGCTGCCTCTCAAGTGGATCTAGTGGGATAAGTGCTATACTTACCCCATGGACAAATCTGTGAATGGAGAGGTGATGTTCACCTCCATTTTACAGATGAGGAGACTCAGGTACAGAAATGTTAGCTTGCCTAAGGTCACACTGATAAGTGGCAGAACTGGGAACTGAACTCAGAGGGTCTGAATCCTAGGCCATATCTTAAAATATTTCCTCAAATGTACGTTTAAAAATGAATTATGTGTACCTGCTTATCTGTTTTTTCCCTTTAAAAATACTAGCATTTGTTTAAAATGACAGTCTGTATAATTGCTTACATATTCTGATTATGGGTTCTAACTGCTTGTTTGGCATTAGCCAGAAATTAATAAAAATGTACCATAGTCTATAAGATAGTAATGAAAGCAGTTCTTTTTATTGCCTATATGATTTCAGATAAATTTACTTAGAGTTAAATTTTTTCTCTAAGTAAATGTTTAGGTTTCAAGAATGTTTTAGTAACTTTCTCTAAACTGTATGAGTTATGCTTAGCTATTATCAGAGCTAATGAATATTAATAAAACTTGTTAAAATGTCGGTTAACAAAATATTCTGTACATTTTTCCCTTAAATGATCACAAGACTGAAACCATTCTGTGTTCAATAGCTGTGGGTAGTGAGAGTTATGCAGTGAAGGCTCTTAATAATTTTTTATAATTTTCTCTCCTAATCTGAGAAAAACTAGTTTGAAATATATGTTAAGGGCTTTAAATGTAATCACTGTATTGAAATTTTTTTTTTATTGGAATATTGCATATATATTGTATATGTATTGGAACTGGTGTAGGTAAAATCCATAATTTAATTTTTCTTCAGTTTGGTTGATTTTAACAGTAAGTGTGTAATGTCAGTACTATTAATATAAACATATAATCTGTAATATAATTATGTAATTAATGTAAACATAGTTAAGTGTGACCTATTTTCTATAGATCACTATTTTAAATGAGCAATATAGTTGCTTATGTATTTGTGATTTTTATTTCATTATATATTTGTGCATTGCTGTTCTGCTGTATGAAACTGAGAACCTGTTAAATTTGATTAGAAGTGAGTGAAACAACTGTGTCAGGTGGGACAGTGACTTTGTTTCATGTATAGATTGTTATATAATCAGGAACTCCTATAAAAATCTATATGTAAAGTTTCCACATGATCCTGCTGATCATGACACACAATGATTTCGAACTTGTTTTTAGAAAGGGCGCCATCTGTTGCTTCTTATTTTGTCCTTCTGTAATTATTTTTTGAGACAGCTGAGTTGTGGTGGTGTTGATCTCTTTGGTATATTTTTAATTAGTTATTTTTTGTATTACAGTCCGAGACCTGCAAAATTTACAGAGCGCCCTCGACCTGGAGTTCAAATGATCTGTTCATCTTTTAGTGCTGGTAAGATTTTTTTCTTCCTGACTCTCCACTTAAAAGTTGTATATTTGAAGGCTTCTAGCAGAACACATAAAATTTTGGAATATACCTACTGTTGTAATAGAAATCATATTCTCTTGCACGTACCAGGGGGTGGTCATAAATTAGTTTATAGATATTTGAACTTTATACTAGTTTAGCTTACATACTCATTTGGTTGAGTGTTTTACTGATTAAGTCTTTCTTTAAGAAGACAGTAATTCTTTGGTAGGAGGAAATAGTTTCAAATTTTACCGTTAAAGAATAAGTCTTCGAATAATTATCTCATTGAAAGAAAAGTATTTTAAATCTTCTATATTTTCAATGATTTTGCAGGTACTTATGGCTGAGTAAAATAGATTGATAGACATTTGTACATCTTTATTACTTATTTTGCTCCAGATTGTTCTTATTTGCTCTTAAAAAAACAGCTGTATAGCAGTGATGAAATTCCAGTTATATTTTGAGTTTATGTAGCAGCATTTTTAGTGGATATTAGAATCTTGATAAACAAATTGTGATCTGGAGATTTTAAGTGAATTGATGAGAAAATGAAACATGAATTAATGTGCCTAATACTAGTTCTTTCCACAGTTTGCCTTTTCTTTTCCTTTCATAATTGTGGTTAGCAGTAGTACCAGAGAAAAGTGATTGCAAACTGATGATGAGTCTTATTTTTGCTGTAATAATATCTAAACATCTTTAATTTCTAGTTTCTTGATTTCCACTGCTACTGCCATGCAGACGGTTTTACTTCTATTATTAATACAAATATAAGCTCTGCATATGCTTCAGAGTACTCAAGTTGCAATTTTATATAGCATTGTTTTCAACACTATGGGAGAGTATTGATTCTGAGAGTAAAACTGCATGTACAAATAGCTATAATGTCAAGTAGAATGTATGTGCCCCATGACAAAGTTGTAATCAGAGTTCAGAGGAGAGGAGGCTTATTGGATTGCAAGCCTGGAAGGCCTGTAGTGAAGGAGTTGGGCCTTGAATACTTGATAGGATTTTAGCAGATGGGAAATGGGGCCGGAGAGGGATTTTAGCAGAATTAAGACATGTTTTCTGATAATATTAACATGGTCATGTAATTATTAGTGAAATCATTTGTAGAAGAAAGCTTCTATAAATACTGAAAAATTCCAGTCGAAGCTTATGTTAGCAGACTCTTAATTTCAGGTTAGATGTATTATGTTCATTAGGATAAATGTGAATAGTTGTAGAATGAAATATTAGTCATTCAGTATATATTATGATAACATTGCTTGCATTTCTTATTTAATTTTCAGAGATTTTGAACTTGTGTTTTATTCATAAATGTTTGCTGTTATTCTTCAGGTGGAATGTTTCTGGCCACAGGAAGCACAGATCACATTATTAGGGTTTATTTTTTTGGATCAGGTCAGCCAGAGAAAATATCAGAATTGGAGTTTCATACTGTAAGTATTGTTGAAAAGACTTATATGAGTATGATGTAAATGAGTCTTAACAGTTTATATTCAGGATCCTCTTTTCTGTTCATCTGTTTGTATATAGGACAAAGTTGACAGTATCCAGTTTTCCAACACTAGTAACAGGTAAAATAATTATTTTTGTTTGTCAAATTGAATTCTAGTTTTCAAATATGAAATAAGGACAGTTCCTATGGTCAGGTTTTAATTAGTTTTGTATATTAATTAGCCACCTAGAATAAAGATCTTGACCAGTTATGATGAAAAGTCAATTTTCATCACATCCCTGTTAATGTGTGTTTATGTTTTATCTGTAATAATGATAATTTATTTGGCCCTTTTTTTTTAAGTAATAGGGACTTTCATCCACCTTACATATTTTCTGTACATATCAAGGTGTAAGGAAACTTTTAGTAAAGATTGGAAATACATTATAATGTAATATTTGAAGCAGAAGTGTTTATTGATAATAAACTTAGATGATATTGTGTAAGTTTTCTCATATTCTTGCATTAAATTTAAAAATGATATTTACATTGAGTAAAATGTGAGGAAAATCAGTGTTTTTCTTTTGGAAAGTATCAGTTCTCTTTCTAAGGTAGTAAATAGTAGCCTTGAATCACTTTTGAATGTTACGAGACCTAGCCACATACATTAGAATGTGTGCATGTATGTAACATTTTAAAAGGCTCTGACGTTTCAGAAATTCTTAGATTTGCAAAAAATGTCAGGTAGAATAATCTATTATATTAGAAGGCTGTGTAAGGAAAAATGAAAGGTGTTTTTAAAAATACAACTCTTGGAAAGTGCATTTTGGTAAAGCACATGTGATTTTTTTTTTTCTTTGGGGCGTGGGCTCTTTTGCAGGTTTGTAAGTGGCAGTCGGGATGGGACAGCACGTATTTGGCAGTTTAAACGAAGAGAATGGAAGAGTATTTTGCTGGATATGGCTACTCGGCCAGCAGGGTAAGAGATCACATTTGAAATATTACATAGATATATCTAGATCATTTAAAGTTGTAAAGCTGTTTTACATGTTAGTGTGAGACTCACCCTATAAAAGTATGTATCATAATCTCATGTTAAACTGATTACTTTTCTGTGATAATTGAAGGCACTTTTGGAGATTGATGTTGATTGTTATAAAATGAGTTTTTACCCTGTATGCAGATTAATGATATTCTGCAGTTCAGTTTTGTTGACAGTTTGATAGTACTATTAAGAATAGCTGTACCTTTTACTACTTTTTAAAGAAAACTAGAACATACAGTGTTCCATATGACACAGGGGTGATGTGGTATATCCACTGGTTATCTCTAGCTAAGAGAAATTATACTACATGTTGAAACTATCATTTTCATTTTAATATTTTAACCTTTTTTTTCTATTTGTATTTATGCATAGTAGTCTTGGATGGGGAGCAAAGTATCAGGGCATGGTGGCAACAGTCAAAGATGGAGAATAAGCAGCATGGCACAGCGGTCTTAGACCCAGAAAGATATTACAGTCAGTCACATGTACTCAGGCTCATCTGTTACTCAGTGTCTTAGCAGCACTGGAATCCTGATTTTGCTGACTCCATGCAGTAATTTTTGCCATCGTTTTTTGTTGGTTCAAATTATTCTTAAATACTGTGTTAAGCAATAGTTAGTTATCCATGTTAATGAATGTAAACCAAGAAAATACATTTAGGTTTTTGTCATGCTGATATTTTAATAAATAATATCATTGTAAGCAAATACTGCCTCCGTCACTTTCAGCCAAAACCTTCAAGGGATAGAAGATAAAATCACAAAAATGAAAGTAACTATGGTAGCATGGGATCGACATGACAATACAGTTATAACTGCAGTTAATAACATGACTTTGAAAGTTTGGAATTCTTACACCGGTCAACTAATTCATGTCCTGATGGTGAGAAAAAAGACTAATTTTTATTTGGTATAAACTGAAGCTGGTTGTAAAATAGAATGCTTTTGTTAAGAAATAAAGTCTTTTGTGTTATCTGAAATCTCTTGCTGGCTAACAGGTCTTTTTGGGAGAATGGAAATAATTTTAAAATGCAGTTAAACACGTTTGGCTTAGAAATGTGAATCTAGCTGTTTTTTTTAATATTCAGGGCTGGATCAATAAATAGTATTCTCAGGTTTCACTCGATGATAGCAAATCCCTGGACAGTGATATTAGCCCAGCCTTTTTATTATACATTTGATAAATTTGAAGATTTTTACCACTTATAGAAATGTTATCATATTGGTGTTTGTTTGAATTTTTTTTTATCTTTTAATATTTATAATTCTTTGACACTTATAAAATATTTCAGGGTCATGAAGATGAGGTATTTGTTCTTGAGCCACACCCATTTGATCCAAGAGTTCTCTTTTCTGCTGGTCATGATGGAAATGTGATAGTGTGGGATCTGGCAAGAGGAGTCAAAATTCGATCTTATTTTAATATGGTAATTATCAGTCTCTTCATTTGATAGCTGTTAAAGATTTGGGGAGTTGTTGATACAGGTCCCCTGCATATCACAAAGGAAATCCATTTAAGAATTGGTTTAGACATTTTCACCTTAAGTTTCAAAAAAGTTATTTATTCCATACTTTTATTAAATGCTAAATTTAAAAGAAAATTGATTGCATATATTACAATACCTGTTTATTGTGATATAACTAGTTTAGTTTTTGAAATAGTTTTAATAGTGAAAGTTTGAAAAACCAGCAAGTATGAAATGACAATTTAGATAAGAAAAATGTTTCAAAAACCATGTGAAGAAATTATAAATAAATACTTTGTCATTGTATTTTATCAGCAGTCCTCCAGTACAACAGAATTTGATTTAGATATATCAATTTTAAATTAAACTCAAAGAAACAGATATTCTTGCCTTTGATCATTATGGTATGTTAGATATTTCTTTGGGTTAAGTCCTTTTTCCCTCCACATTTTGTTTCTTAAATAAATATTTGACGTCTTCTGCTGAGTATTTAAGTTGCAGTGGTTTAATATCATATAAAATGTAATGTGCAGTGTTTCACTCTAACTACTCTATAAAGGCAGAAGTGCCCCTCAGATGCTGACTTTGTATACCTGGACATTTTGTTTTTCATCCCTTACCATATATTAGGGATGCCTTTCAGCAAAGCAAACAAAAAGGCAGACATGTGCCTACTATTTTAATATGGTTAAATTTAAAAAATCAATTATAAAAGCCTCTAGTAATAAATCATAAAGCAATATCATTAATATGTGTATGGCCAGAATTATTTTGCAAAACAACTATTTGACAAAAACCAGTCATTTGTAAAATATAATGGCTTGTGAAATTTTTCATAAAAGTGACACTCTACTTGATTGATAATCATAGTAAAGTTATTTCTGTGTAATAAGCAGAATATGAAAGAAATTTTTATCAGTGAAGAAATTAATTTGTTGTTTTCAATATGCCTTAGTCTTCATAAGGTAAGATATAAGATTGGTCAGATTCTTTTCTAAAAAGACAGTGTTATTTGGAGTACAAATGTTAGTGATCGATGGATTTCCTTTGTGATTATGTATATAGAGCAGAATTTTTTAAAAAGTAAATCCTTAACTATACGTGTGAAGAATTTTTTCTTCTCTCCTTCTCTGTCCTTCTGTTTCTGATTTGCTCCTTTTTGGGACATCTCTGTCGAATAAGGAAGTCCTGTCTCAGTTTGCCTTTATACAAAAGAACACAAATTGTGGGCTACACATGTTAGTTTCATGATTTCAAAGATCTCTGATGTATTAGTAGAGTGTTTGGAGGGAAAGTTTTCTCTCATACTTGAATATTACTCTCACCTTTCAGTTATGAAGGTGAATTTTTCCTCATCAGGTAAGTTGATCACAATAATACTCCACCTTTTCGGGAGATACAAGAACTACAGCTTCTTGAGGTTGAAGTAACTTGCTCTTAGACCTTTAAAAGTTAGTGATGTAACCAGGAGTAGAAGTCAGCCATATTAGGCAAGGGGTTAGTTACATTACCACTTTAAAAACTATTATTTGTTTAATAAGAGTTTTAGATAAAGCTATTTTCCTGTTCTTTCTATGAGTAAGATAGAAAAAAGCCTATAAAGGGTGGAAGAAACAGAATTTTGTAATAGAATTGGATGATATCTATAGAATCTTCAAACTGTGAGAAAAAAACATAGGCTAAAAAGTGTTAAAATATCTTGCATTTAAAAAACTGGAACTTTGAGCTATCCCTCATCTTGTTAAAATTACAGATATTCCTTTTAACTTTTTTGAGTGATATTTACAGCTTCTAAAGTACTTCTACTTCCAAAATGTGCATAATACCTCATTTGGGTCTCATGAAACCTTGCAGTATAATTGGGGTAGGTTTTATTGTTCCTGGTTTTATGAATAGAGAAACTGTACAGAGATGAAGTGATTTGCCCACCCTTATCCAGATCACTAAGCTATCATATGGGCACTTGGAGTTTAAACCCATGTTTTTTGTCCCCTGCTAATGTGTTCTTAATGCTATGCTGTCTCTAGTTATGGTTGGTTGTTTACATATAGCTAACTTCCAGCTTTGTCCTGTTAGTAATATTTCCAGAGGGAAAATATTTTCATAATGATAGCTTTGAGGTAGATCTTTTGAGATCTTATTATTTAGCTTGATGGTTTTTTCCTGTCTCTTAATTTATAAGTTATCTAAGTGCCCTACTTTTTGCTCTTCACTCCTTTGTTTATTTCATTTTTTTTTTTAAATCTATAGGCAGATAGAAGATAAAGCATCCAGCATTGCTATTAAGAAAATAAAAACCATTTGAGGGAGAAGTAGAAGCTTGTGTTCACTATCTGCTATCATGAATGTTGAGTTTTGGCTATAGTTATAACTCTTTGGCTGTGTGTAGCTAATCAGTAAGTTTTTGAGTTACTAAAATAACATAAAAGTTGACAAGTACAAATCCAATCCATGGTATTAAATTGTACGTATTTAATTGTATTAGATCATAAGTTCAATTTACTAAACACTTTTTGAACACCATGTAGACGGACTCCTTATAGTGCCTTGGATGATTTAAAGGATGAATAATTCTAGTGGAATATACCCCATTTTTAGACTAGAAATGGTAAAAGTTAACACAAAGTGTTGAGATTAAGTACTGTTTCATGTGAGTTTCAAAACTGAAGCTTACAATTTGCCGTCAAGCCAGAAAATAAGGGATGTAAATTGTACCTTTAAAAGAACAAAATTCTGTATACAAATTCTTAAAAATATCAAGTATATTTTGAGACTGCTACTTTGAATCTTGTACTTGAAATTTATACCTTTACAAATGTAATGAAATCATGTGACAAATAATTATTTTGTATTAATCAGCATTTTACCACTTTTCTTGCCTGTTACAGAAATTTAAAAAAATTTTTTTACGTAAAATATCTTGTATCTTCAAGGTATCTTTAAAAATCCATGTTTCACATATAGTAATTACAATTTAACAAATTTATTAATAAAGGTAATAGATTTTAAAATAGGAAACATTTTAGTATGGCAAATGATATCTTTCAGATAAATATTCTAATTCCTTTTTTTACTCTGTATCAAGCACATTTTTAAAACCTTTTTAAGACCATCTAAATCTGTAAACACATTAAAAGATTTAAGATTGAGAATTGAGATAAAAATGTTTTAATTCCTTGTCTGTTACATAATTCCCTAACTTATTTCAGAATCTTATAAATAGATTGTCAACTTGCTGGTGGTATTGTCTAGAAAAACTGATGGGGTTATTTTCCTTACTTTTATTGCTAGCTTTCCTCTTAATAGAGGATCTGCATGATAAAAGCACTTGAGGAGGGGGTGTGTTGGGTTTGTTTTTGTTTCTTCTAAGAAGTGTATAATGAGTGAGATGGTTTAACCCAGGACATAAAATGGGATAGACAGTACCTGCTCTTTGCTCTCTCCTGCCCCTCTGTTTCATCTTTTAACTAAAAGTAAAATAATCTTAACATAAACTTTTAAAAGTATTTGTTGAAAAAGCATACTATGTAAGGTGGAAAGTTTGAGCCCTCTTCTTTTTTTAATGAACCAGAGAAAGAAGCTAAAGAGAAGATTAACGTGAGATAATTTTATTCTTCAAAGAACAACAACAACAACAACAACAAAATACTAATTCTAGGCCTTAAGCTTTACTTATTTATGTTCATCTAAAAGCTTAGTTATTCATATTTCAGCTGAACAGATCCTATGTAACTTAAGTATTCTGGGCAAAGATTGAGTATTTTGAGATATTTTATTAAAGGTTGATAGTATATATTAAGACTATTTCAAACTAATTGCACAGAGTTGAGCAATCCCACATTTTTGTCTTTGGCAGTGTCAGGAGATAAACTTTATCTTGTTTTGATAAGGGTTGTTCTGAATTCTAGTTAAGAGTCTCTAAAGTCCTATTAAATGCAAAGAGGCAGATAAATTAATCCTCCAAATAACTTGCAAATGTGTACAAACTCTCTTAACTAAAGTTCAGGGCTTTTGTATTATTCCCCAGTCTCTGAAAGAGATAGGCAAGTTTAGAAGTTTTCATATGAACATAAATGTTCCTAAAAACAGAGTTGTTTTTATACCCCTTTTTCCCTTTAAGTTATTACAGTACAGCTAAATTTTAACTACAACTTTAACTAAGTGAATATTAAGTTGATTTGAAAAGATATGAAAAGAGACTTTGAAATTTCTTAGTACTAGGCCACTTGGAATTTGTAGATCCCATTTTAGTAGCTTTTGTTGTATGTCTGGCACTTTTGCTGGATCTTTTCTGCTCTCTTCTCTCTGTTTCTGTTGTTCTAGCTATGTCTGTCTTTCTTTTCATATCTTTCTGTTTCTATAATGGTTTTTAAAGCTCTGGTTTTTGCCTGTTGTCTGGTTTTGATATTGAAGAGTACAGTGTCTCTGGCTAGAAAGCAATTTTACTGAATTTAAGTTTTGCTTTGCTTTTGTTGTTTCCTGGGTAAATTCCAAATAACAATTTTCATTTATATAATCAAATTTTCCTTATTTTTATTATAATTGTTAACCTTTCTTTTACTTAAGAGATTTTTAAAAAAAATGTTCCAGTGTCCACTAATCCAGAACAATATATTTCTCCTTGCAACGTTCCAAACAAGCAGAGGCTGCCAATCCACCACTCAGAATTTTTGCACATGCCTACTTCTGACATTAACATGTTCTCAGTGTGACTTCTGTTTTAGTTTTGGATAATTGTAGCTACATGTATCTAGAAAAGGGAGAAATAAACTCGAAATAGGTGTATTTCGTATTGTGTTCTCTTGTGAATTAAGATTTCAAGACCTTTCTCTTCCTCTCTCTTCCTTCATCTTTTTCCTTTTTTCCTCCTTCCTTTCCTCTTATCTCACTACCTATCATCATCTAACAAGATATCATATACTTAACACTGTTTGTTAAAAGAACCTTTTATGCTTCCAGTC